ACTAGGGGCTTCTGGCCTTACTACTAGGAGCAAGAACGCTACTAGGATGAAGTTGCAAATTTGAGGCCCTCCTACACCCTGGTTGGTCAAACTCATTAAACGCTCGAAGGATCTCGCAGGACCAAACCTTGACGTGCTGTACGTGCTCCATGCCTTTCAACCCACATCAAGTGGTTTCCTTTCCTGTAGCGGTTTTGCCGCGCGATCCTCTAGATGACCAATGTCCTAGCACAGGTCCTCCCTTTAGAAGAATCGTTTGGCATTTGTATATACAATAGAGGGAAGACCCACTGGAAGACCCCTGCAAATCCTTCTTTGGGACCAACTTTCTCCTTGTGGCCAGGGACCCCTACCTTGATCTCCCTGACCATGGCTTGAGCATCGCCGCTGACGCCGTTCACGGAAATGACCTCGGTGGCACACCCCACGTACGCGAAAGGGCCAGCGGTCCAAGGAATGATTGACCGGTCCAAGGAATGATGATAACCAGAACATTGGAACTAACATGGTAGATTATGGTAGACAAATTGATACAGATTGTCATCATAAAAGGTGAATACTGTATCTCTCTAAATGCCGGTCGTATCAACAAAGTCGACATCAACCATAGCAACCCAGGTCGAACTCCCCCGGCAGGCAAAAGTCCCTGAACCTCCTAGGGGCTGCTGGCAGCCCATCCCTCCCACAGGCATCGTTTTGGCCTTAGGCTCTCGGCCCGGTCTCCTGGCTGAACAGCCTTCGCCGGGTTCTCTTTGTTCCAATCGCTGACAGCTCCAGCCAGAATTGCCTGGGAAGCGACGGGTGCCATCTGACTGCCGAAGGCTTGTAGTTTCACCAATGGCCGGAGCCCCATGCTTGATCGTGTGCACAAAAAATATAGTGTATCATTGGTACATGCGTGAACTACCCCAAATTATTGGTAGCCAATAGTATATATGAGCAGTGATGACTGGAGCTTCTGTCATGCATAAATTTGGGTGCTGGGCTGAACATGTGATGACTCTTCTATGTGTTGATTTGGTGTGTAGTCCAAAGACCATTAGGCTACAACCTTGACAATGTAGGTGATGGCCAAAGGATGCTAAGTCGAATCATTGGCAAAACGATGACTTTCCGCTTGCTTCAAAAACGTTCAGGCTTTCAATGACACCTGCCTGTTTTCCCACCCCCACTCAAAAAGAATCAAATTCGAGTCTGGCTCGGATCCAGGACGATCTCCCAAGAAAGCCGTGGCATCCAAGAAAGCCATCCATGGCCCCAATCCGATGTCATCCAAATCCCTTGGATGTCTGGAGCGGCCTTGATGTAGAGAGTTTTGCCATCACTCCAATCTGCATCCACACCCAGGCGATTGCTGCCCGAAATCGACACCGTCACCTCGGCCCCAACAGCGCCGTCAAGTCGTGACTGGTCTTCGGTTCAACGCTTCAGGACAACGGAGTGTCAGCTTGTTCCGTTCCTCTGTATTTGTCAAGTGTTTTTGTGTGTGTGTGTGTGAGTCAATTCAATTATCAAAAAACGGCGTGATGTTGTGCGTCTGCACCTATCTGTCAAGAGACTGGCACGCTCATACCAAGGTATTTGACTTGGTGTTCACTTCACTTGTGTGATCTCTGGAGCACATGCAGCAGGGCACTAACATGACGTCTCATCAGGATCCTTGGCTTGCAACATTGACAGGACATATGAGAAAAGATATGCTGACCTCTTCTAGGTGAGAGACTCAAGTTGGCTGCAGGCAAGCAAACGATCAAAGAATCAACCATAGATTTAAATCACAGAAACCGAATGTAGGAGATCTCCGCAGTCTTGACCTGTATTACACTTTTCCGTAGGCCACCACCCCACCGATGATGCATGTTTCCTATCTCAAGTGGTGAAAGCGAAGAAGGCTATGGCTATAGTCTCTCTTGGCTCTGGCTCTACCCTCCGTGAACTCCTGGCACGAGTGCCACCTTCTTGGGGGCAAGCGGTAGCTTGGCACTAGGCTACGTTGGCATCCCCTTGCCACGAGGCTGAGTGCACAACCATCCATTGGCCGGCTTTTGTTGCAGTCATGCCCGGCAATTTCAAGCCCTTAGCCGCCAAACATGATTAGAAAGCTCAGGTCATAAACCATGACAAGGTCCTTGTCCGCCTACCCTACTTGCTTGCTTTCCGCAAACGTATTGCTTCAGGGCTTTGTCTGTGACACGGCGCCATGCGTGGTGACGTCTTTCTGCTCTTCAGAAAGCTTCCAACTCATTCAGTCCTTCACTTTATGACCATTGGAACCCTTTGTGGAGGTTTTCGTCCCGTAGAACAGGTTTGGACCCTCATAGTCAAGGTGAATCTTGGGGCACAAGTACCTTGAAATACCTTGTAGCGAACCTCATGGTGAAACAAAGTTGTCCAAGTCCACCTCCAACAGCAAAAGAAGGAACCTAAAGCCTAAAGCCTGAGTGCTGCACACTTCTCCTGGACCCAAACCAGCTCCCGTGGCCGGCTGAAGCCAAACGAGCAAGCGAGGAGGGTCGACGAAGGCCGAGAAATGCAAAGGCTGTCGGTGTAAGATTATGTCGGCATCCCCTTGCAATCAAGCAAGCTATGCCGGGACACCCTAGGGGGCTTCCCTGAGCTACTTGGAGTAGCTGAAACAATATATTGCGGCACTTGCACGACATCGAACACAATTGTCTGGGAACCCTCCTTTGAAGTCTAGGTTCCTGAGACTTTTTTCAGGATAGAAGTGCTGTCCCATTTCCACTAAAAATTGGAAGGGGATTGAACTTTCTATTTGGAGCTCATTGTGCTTGACATCATGGTGCTGAAGCTGTTCAGGCAGCTTTTCCGTGCCACCATCTGTCAGTGCTGCTGGCAGACCTGACTCAGTCAATTCACGCATCCAGGTCTTGGTTTTTCAATTGATTCCGATGCCTTGTCTGCTTCCCTATTGGCCTGGGCACCTAAAGATTTACAGCAGTGGACAATTGGTATCTGTTGGCTTTCTCTTGTTTCTAGACACTTTCTCATCCTCCAAGATTTGTCCACTCAGTGCCCCGCAGCTGCGCACTCATCCTATCCTCTGGAGGCAGACTGAGAGAGGTAGGCAAATCCTGCCTGAAACATGGGCACGAAAATGCTGCAAGCTTTTGTTCGCCAAAATTCTGGACTTGCAAACCCATTCTCTCAGATTAGCTGCTTAGCTGGTGGCACCTGCTCAAGTTTGTCTTGGACATAGGACAGCCTGAGGGCGCTGAGGTATGAGAAGAATCAAGCGGCCAAAAACAATAGACAATGAACCATCAAACCAATTCATTACTGGTTGGATGTCCATACCGTCTATACCTATATACAAGCATTGGCCTCTGACCAGGTACCAGCTTTCGCCATGCAAACATCAGAATGACCAAGGTTATCCAAGGTTCCGTTCAAAGTGGTGGATATTTTGCGACTGAAATCCTGCGGCGGGGTCCAGGGAACACCTCGATTGCGTCTGCATGTGGGCAGGGGCCCTGAGGCGTTCGTGCCAGTCAAAGCGTATGCGTGGCACAAACAAACGGCCCACATCACTCACCGGGCACGGCTCAACAGGACAAGAAGCTTGTACACGGACAGAATCAAAGCTCCACGGTGGAAATCCTGCCAAATGTCGTTTGCGAGGCTCACGTCAGTCAATGTGATATCCATGCCGACTCAAGGTGTTGCGACATGTTTGCTGCTTGCCACAGTTTCAATATAGTATGTTACAGCAAGAACTAGCGCAAAGTAGTGCCGAATGCTTGAATCGGTTGTGAGGGATCCAAGTTTGGACCAACGATGCGATGCTGGAGATTTCTTGCTGAGCCGGCGAAGCCTGACAAGTCATGTCATACTGACTTCTAGAGCTCTAGAAGTCAAGTAACGCATCTGAAAAGGAAATCTCAATGCCCTTTTTCGGGTCACAATATCTGACGATCGGTATAAATGGTACCGCGATACAATACGTATATAACTATAAGTTTTAGTATATAACATGCGTGATTTGTTCTCTTAGACATCGGGGGCGGATTCGAAGCGAGTCGCACGAAGCAAACAGAAAGTGTGTCCTGCATGGTCTTCGAAACCCCGTCAGCCAGCCACGCACCAACCTCCTTTGACCGGTGCGGGTGTCTCCAAGTCATGAGAGGAGTGGTGTCTTTCTTGGAAAGAAAACCATGACCTCACTTTCCTGAAATCATAAGCACCTGAGGATGAGCTGAGCCTCATTGCATCATTTCATGTTGGCAAACAATGCATGGATCCGTTTGTCGTCAATATATACCCCCTACTACAAGCAAGGGACCCCAGGGACCCATTGTAGACCCCAAAACTGGGGGTCTTTTATGGTTTCCCTAGGGCGTCTACGTAGGCCACAGCAGAGGTTCTAGACCCCCCCCTGGGACCGCGTAGTGGGGTCTTAAATGGTGTGCCTGACCACATGTAAACTGCTCAAATGGACACTTCATCCTAACACACCTTCACAAAAAACAACCAGCAGCTTCCCAAAGGAGAGGCAACACCAGTGAACCAAATGAAAAGGATTTCAATTATTTGCTGTTTGACAGCGGGTTCAGGCACTAGGGTCTAAAGTATTGTTCCTGGTGACCTGTGCAATCTTTAATACACAGGAGCTCTGAGGAATCCATTTTAGACCTTCAGCTGCTTTCCACCAATATCTGAGAACTGGATCAGTATGGAGGACATTCATGAGCATTCACCTGATGATTTACCGAAGGGGTCTCTCGCGGTTCCGGCACGCCAGACTCAACCTTTCATAGACTCTAAGTTTGCCTTCGCGAGTTGGCTTCGCCTGTGTGAAATCCAACAGCCTACGCCAAAGGCTTCGCGAGCCTTCGCTACACACAATGTATCACACAAATGCCTTCGCAAACACTTGTGGAGTTACAGTCTAATCTAAAGTTTATCATGCAACAAAAAACGCTACTGATTTGAAGGTGACAAGTCTGAAAAGTTGAAAAGGTCTAAAATGCTCAACGATTTAGGGTCTACAATGCACACAGTGAGTATCCTAG